TATTTGCTTATTATATCTCAATTATGGGGATTACATGTTACTAAAATTGAAATTCAAGATTCTTATTTTTTCATGGTCGAGATACCAAGAGCTATGAAAAAAGTGATTATGCAAATTGAAAGATTTTTATACACTAACTTTTTGAACTTAAAATATTTTTTATATAAAAAAGGAATTAGTAAAACATACAATTTCCTAGCATTGATTATAACACATGATAATTATGTTAAATGGTATTAATTTTTCTTATAGTTAATGATCATGTGCTGCATTTCAAATTTAATTTCATTTACCAAATAGACTCTAAACCAATTTTCATTACCACATGTTATTTATTATATCCTTCGTTTAAGTTTTGGTAGCACTTTTAGATTTTTTAATTTAATAAGTAGCATAGAAAAAAAATAGTACAGAATAAAAAAATATTCGTGCGACCCGTGCGTGGCACGGGCTAGAAAACTAGTTGATCATATTTATCACCCCTCTCAAATCCTCACTTCAATTCCTATCCTGGCGAGGAGATTGAAGGAAATGAAAAAAAACTAAATCTTCTCATCTCGCTACAATAGAAGGAACCTAATTTTACTTTTTCATAGCTTGTTTTGTTTTCCTTCTATTTTTTTAAATTTTTTCTCTATAACCAAAATGAAAAATTATTTTCTACTTTTTTTTCTTTTTCTTCTCAAATTCCTTGAACCAAACATAGTGTAAGGGAAATGTATTCAATCTAGATATGTATTTTTTTTAAAGATTTTTTCAAAACCCATGAATCATGTGAAATTCATATATTATTTTAAGTTTATGCAGAGTTTGTTAGTTCCTCTGAATTAGAAAAACTTGATATTTTACCTCGTTCATAGAAATGTAAGATATAATTTATGGCCTTCTCTAACAAGGCAACAATGATATTGTTATACTATGATGACAAGAATACATTTGTCACACTTACAATTGTGATTTTTTGCTTTTAAAATTGATCGTGTTTATCACCCCTCTCAAATCCTCACTTCAATTCCTATCCTTGCGAGGAGATTGAAGGAAATGAAAAAAACTGAATCCTCTCATAGTCTCATTTTTCTCGCTCAATAGAAGGAACCTAATTTTCCTTTTTTCATAGCTTGTTTTCTTTTCCTCTAATTTTTTAATATTTTCTCTATAACCAAAATGAAAAATTATTTTCTACTTTATTTTTTTCTTTTCCTTCTCAAATTCTTTGAACCAAACATAGTGTAAGGGAAATGTATTCAATCTAGATATAAAATTTTTTAAAAGATTTTTTCAAAACCCGTGAATCAACTATATATATGCATTATGGAATACATTGATTATTATTTTAAGTTTATGGAGAGTTTGTTAGTCTCTCTGTCTAAAAATAATCTTTTTCTTATGCGCTATGATGTTTAACTAAAGTTATTTTCAAATCATTTTATATGAAAAATGATGTAGAATAATAGTCACACATTTGGTGGGTGCTTAGGTTGGAGCTGGGGTGGGGGTTTAGGGGCGGGTAGGAACCATCAACTTATCGAACGGAACATCGGAAATGCTCAAAAAATGCAGTGGCACCGCTAATAGAACCGTTGGCCAATGTCAATGGAACCCCACTCATATATATACATGCACACACATACATATATTTAAATGGTTAATACATGAATACCGAATAAAATTATAAATGATATTGAATATAACTTTTATTCGGGTTAAAAGGAAACTATTTTCGGTGATAGTTAAATTGTATAGTACTCCGCATTCATTTTTATAACTTACATTTATAAAAAAATAAAAGATGGTACAACTTACCTAGGTAAATGTTACGATGGTGGATGGACTTCTGCTTTACAATGCCCGCCTCTATATTGGGGGAAAAGTCTGATTTGTGCCACGCCCTTATGAAGGAATATCATGACTCTCACATCGCGGGTCACACAAGCATCCACCGTACCTTCCTCCAGTTGGCGCATACATTTTACAGGGCTCAAATGCGGGCTGACATGCATGCTTATATCAACGCCAGTCTAACTTGTCAGCGGGCCAAATTTTCCACCCAATCGCCTGGCGGCCTCTTGCAAGCCTTACCCATTCCAAGTCGCATCGGGGAAGACAAAAGCATGGATTTTATCACGGGCTTGCCAGTCTCATGGGAATCATCTGTTATTTTGGTTGTCGTCGATCGCCTCACAAAGTATGCTCGCTCACCTCAGGCCTCTTCCGAGCGATTTTGACGCTCACTAGATGGCTTATTTATTCACTGATATGGTTATTAAATTGCATGGATTCCCACGCTCCATTGCGTCGGATCGTGACAGAATTTTTTTGAGAACTTTTAGGGGGGAACTACATTCTTTGAGTGGTACTCCCTTGAAACATAGCAGTGCTTTCCCCCCACAAACGGACCGACAAACGGAGGTTCTAAACCGAACATTGGAACAGTACTTGCCTACATTCGTTCATGAAAAGGCCCAAGCATTGGACGATACTTCTTCCATGGCCTCAATATTTATGTGTAGCAATTTAGATGTACAAGTAGTTATAAGTTATTATGCTTAAAATATGTAGGAAAACTACAATAATTTGAGAGAAGAAACTATTCGTGAGGGGATTTAAGTGGCGCTAGGAGAATTATTCTATGTCGCAGCTGATGGGCATGATGCAAAGAATTGAATGTTTGGCACTGGTGCAGCTGCACGTAAAATACTAAAGAATACTCAACAACAGAGCACATGAGCCAGCACAAGCAATATCTCTGACATAGAGATCAATGAAGTTGTAAACTTGCGCAAGGAATTGTTGGACTTCAAGGCAATCATCGAAGAAAGAGAGAAGAAAATAGTGGAGGAACTTAAACGTTTGCGCGTCCATCATGGTGATGGTCATTTTGATGATGATGGTAGTGGTGGAGGTGGTGCGACGAGTTTTGTAGCGTGAGCATTACAATACATTGATTTATATGTTTTAACATTGTGGAATTATTCAACTATATATATGCATTTGATAATGTTAAGAAGTTTTGAGACATTAATGTGTTTTTTATGAATCGAAGACTAATTTATTATTGTTATGAACATTTGGTTTATTTTTAATTCCCCTTACCTGAATTCCTTTGTGTTGTTGCCTGTTGTTTTTCTAGTTTATGTGCCATTATGTTCTGGTTTTTTAGCTAAAATTGATGCAGATTTTGTAGAATCTGGAATGTTTGCGACGGAATCTGCGATAGAATAATTCTGTCGTAGAGTTCATTGTCTTATCCCAATTTTAAGGACGTCGTAGTTTTTGTCGTAGAACGAAATACGGAAGCCCTATCATGTCGTTGCAATTTTCGTCGCAAAAAGCACAATGGAATGTATCCATACTAGAATCTGTCTCAGGACTGCGACAGAGTCATCGCATTTGCTTTTGCAGCCAAAAAACTACGATGGAACCAAAACCGTCACAAGACTCGTCACAAGCACTAATTGCGAGGGAAACTGAGGTAATTGCAATGGACATTTTCCGTCGCAAGTTCGCGAATTTCTTGGAGTGAGGTTTTAATTGACAGGGGTAGTATGCACAATTTTATTCACCCTTCAATCATTGAGAAACTTCATTTCCCATCATGCCTATGCCGCTATTTCAGGTATACGTTGGCGATGGATAGTCACTACCGTGTAGTCAGAAGGGTGTGGCGACTGTTCTTGTGCTTCAAGGGCATGCAATTATTGTGGACCTATTTGTCCTCCAAATTCACGGCCTGGAGGTTGTACTCGGTGTTCAATGGTTATAAAGCTTAGGGAAAATTTCCCACGACTACTCTAACTCATGATGGAATATCAGCATGGGTATTCGAAGGTCTCACTTTAGGGGACGGGCCGTGCGTCCGCCAAATATTTCACAATACCATGCAGGCCCCTTGTGTGTTCGGCTCCATCATGGTAGGCTATGAGGTCGCATTATTGTCTGCAATTACTTCCAATATGAGTGAGGAGGAAATCACGTTTCCCATTGATCTTCCTGCCATTATTTGACAAGTCCTTGAATAACACGTGCAGCTCTTTCATATTCCGATTTGGGTACCTCCATCACATCATTGGGATCACCGCATTCACTTACACCCCAATAGAAACCCGATCAACGTCCCTAATCACTATCCTTACTATAAAAAAACGGAAATTGAAAGACAGCTTCAAGCAATGTTGGAACAAGGGATCATACGACATAGTCGGAGCCCTTTTTCTTCTCCGGTTCTTTTGGTGAAAAAGAAAGATGGGAGTTTTCGGTTTTGCATGGACTACTAAGCCTTGAATACGACAACTATTACCGGCAAGTTTCCGATACCCATGGCCGACAAGTTATTTGACGAATTGGGCCATGTTTGCTTCTTCACCAAGCTTGATTTACGTTCGAGCTACCATCAAATCCGTATGCATGAAGCTGACATTTATAAAATGGCTTTCTGCACCCATGACCACTATTTTGTGTTTCTGGTAATGCCATTCAGCTTGAGCAATGCACCCTCAACTTTTGAGGCAGCCATGAACCACATATTTGCTGCATATCTTTGTTGGTTCGTCATCGTCTTCTTTGATGACATCTTGGTCTATATTTTCTCTTTGGAGCAACATGCCGAGCATCTTCACATCATTCTCCATACCTTGGCCTTGCATCATTTTTCAACAAAT